ATCAACATTACCTTGGGAGAGAAATAGAGCTGGAGCACCATCCATTCCTTTGAATACAGCCCTCGAAGGGCAAAATGGATGTCGGCAGGAAATCTAAGCCAAAAACTCCCTAAAAACACAAAAATACATATTTATAGACTTAGGGTAAATACACTTTCGATAGGAGGGAAATCCACTTATAAGAATGGTCGAGCGGCGCTCCTAGACTGGTCCATGCCGCCCTCGCACAAAGGAGTTCGCGTTATCGCGGCAATGATTGCAAAAAAATGCCTCTTAGGCAAAAGCCAAAAGTCAAATACACAAGGCACAAAAATAATTTGATTATAGTATAATTCTGATAAAAATTGCAATAAATTTTTTTTTGGCCTCAAAAAGAATAGAGGCATGAAAATAGAAAATTATAGGAGGCTTAAAAAGATCTGCATGCATATTAAAAAAGACAGTTTTTGGCCTCTTTCAGTTGAAAGCTTCCATTGAGGAAAACGAAAAAGAAAAAAATAAAGAAAAAACGAGGAAATACAACTGAAGATTTTTCTCCCCTTCCTTTCCTTTCCCTTCTTTCTCTGTATCTTTCAGCATCCCTGCTAGTATCTTTGTTGTTTGTTTCTTTTTAATTAATTAATTTATTTATTTTGTTTTCTGGCATGCTTATATCCGATGTCGTCTTGCAGTTCATTAAATGTTGGGGGGCCCTTCCTCTCTAAGTTCCCCTTATATTCGCCCGTGTGAGCAGTGGAAGTAACAACACTAAAGAAAACCTAAGTACTGACAGCGCGAAATGAGCCCTAAGAATATACATTTGATTCAAATTTCCTTCAAGCAAGGCTCATAATCATAATCAGACTTATTCCAAATATCATTGGGCAACTTCATGAATACTCATTTTCTATTTATTCATGTTGAGTGTTGACAAAGCTATTAAATCTATTCTTCATAAATTATTTTGAACAACTTCTGTTAATGTACTCTTACGTTTCCTTCCAGTCCACTAACATTTATTTTACCTATCGACCTAATTTGTATTTTCTATCCTTTATTTTTACACCACATAAATTTATTTTCAATTATCTCATCTTTAATAGAAGCCATACATAATATTTCTCTAATATAATCATTCCTTTAATTTATCATTTCTAATTTTGACACCATCTACATATTCGCATTTCATTCAAACCACACCATGCAACCTTTATTCTCATAAATTTTCCATCCAAGTCCTTATCGTTTGCTTCTAATATTCATTTTGACTAATTATAGAGAACAACTATTCCCTCAAATGATGTCATGCAACCACCATATGTAATTGCTACCTTAATTTATCATCTAAATACCCACTTTCCTTCTAGCAGCGATACACGAACTAGCAATTCTATAGAATGTTCAAGGTATGTTAGTCCGAAGGGAAGGTTTTTAACTCTTCAAGGATTCTCCTCGTACACGTAAATAACAAAGGATGTTGAATGGCATAACTCGAAGCCAAACCACCCAACATCTCCCTCCACATGACAGCTCACATAAATAAGAGCTGCAAATACAATGAGGTCCTACTTGTAATCCCAAAGGCCACCAAAAAGCCCTTCCAAGGCCCAACTTACAGTGCCACCGACAAGGAAAGCCCAAGTAATCACTGCAGCTTGATGAGAAATATTTTCCTATGTATGTGTGACTGAGGGTGTATGAGAAGGAGATTGAGAGTAAATCAACATATCTTGTAGACTGAATAGATCAGATTTATAAAAAAATGGATGTGATGCAAGGGCACATATTAATTTAGTCGATGGTCTAGTTAGGTTTTTTCCTAATTTAGTATGTGATCATATTAATTTTGGTGTAGCTAAAATTCTCAAACAACATCTAGCTAATCTGGTTTGGCTGATCATTTCCTCTTTTGGCTCCCAGAAGATTCAAGAAGCATTTGTTAGCATTTGGTAGTTGGTTTATTAGTTTCCACATGTGAAAAACAAAGTCAATACAGACTCAAGATTTGAAAAATAATGTTAGTGAAATACAAATCAAAGAGCCCAAGTAAAGGTATCAAGAGTTTGTGAGTACTTTAAGTCTAGAAACGGCAGCAGATATGGCCCTTCCAGGTGCCTGAAGAGCCTTATTGTATACCTACAGTCACAGACAGCACATTAATGAAGACCTGAGCATTGAAAAAAAGTGAAGACATAATATTCAAATGGAACTTTTGAAGAATTAGAGAGAGATGCATAAAATAGCATGGTTAACTTGCTAACCTGCAAATAAAGTAAAGCTACGATCTTAGGCAAAAGTACAACTGGATCTGTTTCGGAAGAAACTTGTGAGATTAAACCCTACAAAACACAGTACATCAAATGCGTCAATTTAACCTTAGTATTAGATAACAACAGCTAGAAATGAAAATTGACAAAATTAAAAGAAAAAAAAAAGCGGGGGAGGCACAAGAAAAGTAAGGAAAACTAGCCAAGGGTCCAAAAACAGGAAATTATCACATTGAGCAATCTTGGCTGTGTCATTCAAGGAAACTCGCCAAATGGCTTTCTAGTCATCCATGAAACCAGTGCCTATCACACCATTAACATTAAACAGGAAGTTTATTGTGTCCAGTTTAAGAAATTAAATAACTTTTTTTGAGCCGGTTGTCAAGCAGCAGTTTAGGCATACAAAAAAAAAAAGAATATGTTAACAAGAAATTTTCTAAATATTAACTGTCGTAACACTAATCCAAGACTTCAGCTAACATGCAGCATCTTCCTAAAGAAAGAACCAGGTTTCATGCCGATGTTAACTTACAATTGCACATTATTACTCAAGTAAAATAATGCCTTTGAGGATCGATAAACACCAACTCTAACGGGTGTCTTTCTTTGTTTCACATGCATGAGATGCATTTCCAAGGCCATAACAGAAAAATGTTTAAAAAAGGACACCAGCTGATACACAGTCAGATTAAAAAAGTAGTAACCCTTCATGGAGCCGCACTTACCTATCAATAATATAAGCATACCTTTTGATAAGTTTGCAATAATGATTTTTCTAGTTTCTTATCAAGCTTCTTCAATAGCAGCCCACTGCAATAATAACATAAAGAGCGTAAAAGCAATATAATATGTTCACAGAGGTAAAAAAAATTTAATAACTGACCTCTCCTCTGCTAGAACCTTGAATGTAGCCATGAATGTGTCCACACGCTGATAAAAATTCAGTTCATATCAATCAAGGTATCATGAGTAAAAGTATGATTGAAAATAGATTCACACAAGTATGATTCAAAATAGATTCACAAAGTTGCATGACTCATGAACGTGTGCATAGAATGAACGGTCTTTACATAACAGTATAAACAGTGACCATGCATTATTTTCTCATGTATCAAGACATTAGGCATGAAACATACATAAAAAATACATCCATAAAACTGTATAGTTCAGAAAGGAAACAAGTCAAAAGCGAGGAAGGAACGAACTGCTTCATAAACGGTCAAACAAAATATCCTATAACTTGTTATTTAAATGGTACTATCAACCTGATGGAATTGATTGAAGGACACATTAAGAGACACAAAATCATAGAAATCTTCTTGGTTATAGTTTTTCTCTTTCATGCAATAGTACAAGGAATGGCAGCATGCAAAAGGAGTGACATTGCTTGAGTAAACATATTATAACAAGGCTAGCAAAACCTTAATATTATCAAGTTCGCAAGTCACCTGATATCAATTAATTCTTGATTCCAGTGAAGATATTCAACAAATTCATAATTATATCACACTGCACCATGATTCATTCTTTTTTTTTCCAAATGATGTATATATATTAGTTGTAAAGTTATCTAAGGTTCACAGAACCTACTGCAATTTATTTAAAATACAAATATACAATATGAATAATCTTCCGAACCATTAAGGCATTAAATAGAGTTATTTCATTAAAAATAAAAATGCTATTAATTCAAAACTCAAAAAGGACCGAAATTTCTATACAAGCAAGGTGGCTCTAATAAAAGGGACTTCAGCATAATCATGTGATTATAGCTCCTAAAGGTTACCGAAAATATACCAAAAGAGAATGCTTTTAGAGGAGGAACAGATATAAAAAAAACCTCAATTATAAAAGACATTAAAGATTCTCTGTTCAATTTTGCCAAGAACAGAAAATTAATCTCATAAAAGCATTTAGGAATTCCTAAGGCTAATCTAAGAAAAACAACAGAGGCATAAATAATTGACAATAGCATTTGTATGATAAGCATTTAATAAAAACGCATGCAATGATTATTTCTATCAGGCACTAACCTTCCCTTCAAATGCTTCAACAACAGCTTGGGCCTTCAATGATAATGAACTGGGCAAGCTCTTTGCCTTCATTACATAAACATTTCATTAAAGTTGGCAACTTTAAATTCAAACCGATGAAAACAAAAAATGCAAAGTCATGTATGAGACATGGTTTCAGACCAATGAAACACGGTTTGCAGGAGTAAGTTGGGCAGCATCCAGATTTTCACCTTCTTCAATTTCAATTCCATTTTTTAATTTGTTATCCATGACCTACATAAAATAACAGGCAATATTAAAATGTGCCATATAAGTAAGAAAGAAAGATCGACACCATAAAAAATGCATAATATCAATATGATTATATCTGAATAACATTTATTCAATTTAAAGGTTTAAATGAAGCTACTTCATGCAGCCCTTCTATGAAATACTTGAAATGGATCATATAATGCACAAGCATACTTTCTTTCTATCTTTTATTTTCTTTCTATTATTTTCTTTCATTTCTTCTCATGTAAGACTTCCGTCAATCAGTACAATTAAAATTTAACGTTCGATGAAAAAAATACATTGAAGGCTATATTTACCAAAGTTTGAAGAAGCTTGTCCACAATGGGGGCTGCCTGTATTTTGAGTAGATGCTTGTGTAAAATGGTCTGCACTTGGAAAGGTTCCTCTTATCATTTAAGCAAATTACATTCAGAAAATTAGTAACAATTCAGTCTGTGGATCATACACAGAGAGAAGGATCATCTTCAAAAAGATCCAGTGCTCTTTCATATAACTGTAAATCCAAGAGCGCCTAATACACAAGAAAACAAAGACACCATTACATGATAGATATTGAAAGTTCATTTATATTAGAGGATGTGCATGCCTGATGTGGATAATCTGCACAGAGTTACACAATAAGGTTGAAACAAAAAATAGCATATATTTAGAGAAGGTGCAGATAAAACTGTGCAGCTTCTCCTTTAAGCGATATTTTGGTGCATAAAAGAACCTCATCAAGTTGTTTCTGCAAATTATCAAGCAGCTGTCGGCTTCGCTTAGCATTTTCTTGTAGAAATGTTGCTCTTCTCTTCTCCAAAGACTCCAGTAATGATGGCCTCAAGTGGGAAGACAAAGAACTAAGCATCGCATGTAGATCATCAGGACCTACAATTCATAAATCAGAGAAGACAATAAGAACAAAAAAAAATGTCCATTGCATATACAGAAGATAATGCACAGATCATTTTTCTGTGATCTGTAAAGAATGTACCTCTCATCTCTCCCAGATCTGGCGCTACTGCCAAAATTTTTTTAGCAATCCATTCTTCGGAAGGGCCATTTAAGCTTGCCACGTTCACCTTACTTTTTCCATTTGCCTCTATTGAATTTGCATCTTTAGTTCTCCGCTGATTTTTTTTGCCTTTCATAAGAACCCTTTCTTGGGCATCAGAATCATTTTCAACCTTTACAAAACCAGTATGCTTTCCCCTTTTTTTCTTTGATCCTTTCTCGGGCATATTTTTTCTGCTGCCTCCATCAATAGTTTCTTTATTCTCAGAGTTTTTACCAGAGCTAGTTTCAAACTCGACCTCATTAGCAAAAGACAAATCTGAACTGTGACCACCAAAGCTTGTGAAACTGAGAATATCCATCTCTTTTTCGACTAGATCAAACAAATCCTAGGCAGAAAAAACAATTTCAACAGTTGGCTAACACTTTAAAACTTTAAAAAGTTAAACTGGGAGTAAAATAGGCTAACAGGAAATCTAATTATCTAAGGCCGCGCAATCCAAGTTAATCTTAATCAAGCAGGAAACCAATAGAATTTTGTCAAATGGTGTATGAATATTAGCAACTGATAGAAAAAACCTGTCACATGCCAACCAAAAGGATAAACAGAAATAGAATAAATCACAGTTCCAGATTTCAAGTAGTAGCTCCATTTACAATCTTCTTTAGTCCAAATAATATTTTTTGTAAGTAGGAAAAAATTCCAACTACATCAGAATCCAGAATTACAAATTCAGAGGTTATTAATCACAAGCACTTATTATTGAGCATTGACCCTTGAGAAGTAATATTTCAATGGCGACTGGAAAAGGAACAAATAATAACCACAAAAATACAAAGACCAAGAAGAGAGTAGTTACAAAACCAACAACAATTACCTTTAACAGGTACTTCAATATAGGGTATAAGATAATCCAGCTAGGAAAAAATACTAAAGGGAAGTTACAAACTAAAGATAATAAAAAGTTCATTTAATAGACTCCAGAAAAAACTCAAGCATAACTACATAAGATTCTGAAAAGCTATTGTAACTGACAAGAGTAGAGAAACTTCATATCACCTTAGAAGTTTCTTATTAATAGGGAAACTACTTCAAACTATATTCTAACAAAAAAAAATTTTGATGATCCTCCAATTGCTCCCATTTGCGCCGCTCAATAGCACACGGCCAAAGTAGCACCTCTCATCACCAATGAAGCCCTCAGCATCAAGCAGCGAGGGCTTGGGCTCCTGCCCCTCATATGTGCCCATGGTTTCCAACACGTTGGGGTTCAAATTTTTAACAGTCAACTCCTCTTAGTCGATGACTCATTGCGTCAACTTCCTTTTCTAGCGGTATTACTACTACCGTAGAAATTTCCCTCTCTTTCTCTCTCTCTTTTAAATGATTTTAGGTCTTATTCTCCATCCTATTTCCCATCTTTTCTAAACTTAGTTCTTCCCCTCATTTTCATCGTCTTTGCTCATTCTCTTCCTTATCTTCAGTCGTTGCTCTACCTACTATTTCCTTTTACAATCATGAACTACATCGTTTGCCACTGATTTTTCAATAAACACTTCTTCCTCACTCTTTGGTTGTTATTATAACTAAGGTAGGTCACCTCAGTGAAACCTCCTGTCCCTCGCCCTCACTTTTTCTAGATATTGTTGATATGCTAAATGATAAAAGTTCTTTCATCTTCAACAAACAATTATTTTCCTTTATTTTTTTAATCAAGAAGCATTTTCATATTCTCATAAGCTTTCTGCAATATAATAGGGCAAACTTGTCCATATCTTCAATGATAAGGAGATCATTGAGCTTGCTAGACCTCTTTGTTTTTTTCTTTTATTGATAAATTCTCATTGGATCATCCTAACATAAAGATTATTCATAACTTTTTATATGATTTATATTTGTTTGGAGGCTATTATGTTGGACTCATAGACTCCCATCATATAAGTATTTAATTATGCTCAAAAACAAACTATACTAGGCTTTCTTCTCGAAAACTTATTATATAATAGTATTCCAATGCATATGCTAAAAAGGTCACCCCATTTTGACTCTTCAAAGGAAACATCAATCAATCCAATCTAGATATCATTCCCTCGATTATGACTACATTATTTCAACCAATCCTCTCTATATTCACTAGGTTCAATATTTAGAAAACTTTTACAAGTAGATAATTATGTTGCTCATATCTTTAGATCGGTAGTGACCAGCATTCTAGTTAGGTTAGAGATTACTTTTCACTTAAAAATATAAGGGTCAATTGGCTCATCTATTAAATATTAACATAAAATAGAATTTAAAATCATTCATCTCATTGCTTATCTTATAAAATTTTTAGGCATGGTAACTTTGAATGCGCTATAAAAGGATAAGAGCCAAACAATAATCACTCTAGAAGCTTCTCAATTAGTGGTGTTGCTCCATCACCCCAATGCATTCTCATTGACCTTGACCAACTTTCTTCAATTCGTTAATTTTATGATCACAATGATGAACATGATGCTCTACAAGCATATGGCTCATATGAGCGCACTCACAATGTTGACCTCCTAATACATAAAAGATTTTTTATTCTACCTACCAAGGAAGACAAAAACAACAAAAACAACAACAATAACAATAATAATACTATCATCACCTCCTATTTTCATCAAACATTAATCTAGAAGATTCAAATGAGCCATTTTTTAGTTTTCATATACTGAGAAATTTAGTTCCTCATATTTTTTTTGTCTTATGTACTTTTAATTTTTCTCTGACAAAATTTGTTTTTTATATTTGTTGCACACATATAAAAAAAAGAGTCATTAAATTTTGCTTTAATTATGATTTTATTATTGATAATACCTACGAATGGATTAAATAAAACACAAATTAATTATCTTATTTTGAGAAAAAATAAAGCGTCAAGATTTTAAAGTTTGTAAGATCATTCAAAGTAAAAATTTAAATACTCATCATCGATTATTAATTTTTGATTGTAAAAAATGAATGGTTGAAATATGAAAAATAAAAAAATATATATTATTATATAATTAAATAAAGGCGTTTAAAAGACAAATAAAACTATTTTTCTGAGTTAACTTCAAGATCTTAAGATTTAGGATGTTGATGAAAAAATAATATTATGTTGGCTAAAATAAGGAGTACTATTAAGCAAGTTGTAAAAAATGTGCTTGAGATATCAAAGGAAAAAACTCTTACGAATAAAAATAATTGGTAGAGAAATAATAGTGTGCATGAAAAGATAAAAAATAAATATTATATTATAAAAATTAGTTTAGATGTAAAATCTTGGAAAAATATAACGTGACTCTAAGGAATTCTAAATGAATAATTTGTGATGTTAATAATTATTCCTTTAATGATCTTAATAATATATTAGAAACTAAAAAGGGGTAAAAGATATATGTATAAACTCATCAAGCAAAGAGAGAATAAAAATAAAATTTTAGTTCAAGTTACATGTGTTAGATGAAAATAAAAAAGTACTTCTCTTAAATGAAAATATTAAACTTAGATAGGTGAGATATTTTGATAAATTTTTCAATGAAATTTGTAAAAATACGACCGACTTTAATGATCTTAATATCATAAATAACAACATTATTTTTTTATTTTTATCATCGCATTAATAGAACATAAGTTGAGGGGGCTTTAAAAAAATGAAGTGTGAAAAGGCAATATGACCTTATAATATTCCAACATAAGTGTGGGAATCTTTAGGAGATTTGGGAATTTCTTAGCTTATTAAACTTTTTAACATTATTTTAAAAAGGTAAAAGATGTCTCATGAGTAGAGAAAGAGTATATTGGTTCTTATTTTTAAGAATAAAGGGGACGCACAAAAAAGTGTAAATTAAAGATGAATTAAGTTAATGAGTCATGCAGTAAAATTATGGAGAGAATAATTGAGCATATTACGACGTGATACAAAAAGTTCACAAAAGTAGTTTGGATTTATGTCGAGCAAGTCTACTATGGAAGCTATACATTTATTAAGAGGTTTGACGGAGAAGTACATAGAGAGTAAAGAAGATCTACATAATTTTTTGTTGATTTAGAAAAAGCTTACGATAAGGATCCAAGTGTACTTTGCATAGTTTTTAAAAAGGTGTTGTTATTGCTTATATTCAACTAAAGATATGTATACTAGAGTTATTACTTGATTTCTAACGCTAGGAAGATTGACAAAGTATTTTCCAATTCAGTTGAATTACATCAGGGATTGGCTTTAAGCACATATCATTTTGCTTTAGCTATGGATATTCTTATTGGACATTTACAAGAGGATGTACTTTGTTGTATGTTTTTGTTAATGATATCCAAAGATAAGGTTAGAGAGAGTTCAAGAAAAAAACTGATTTATGGAGGTCAACATTACAATTTAAAGACTTTCATTTGAGTAGACCTAATAGTTCAAAGTGATGGTGATATAGAATGTTATTAGTAGAATTCAAGTTGGATGGATGAAGTGAAGGAATGCATCAAGCCTATTGTGTAATAGAAAGTATCACTTAGACTGAAGGAAAATTTTATAAGATGGTGGTGAGACATGAAATGGTTTGTGGTGCAGAAAGTTTGCTTGTAAAATAGAAGCAAAAAATTAAGTGTTTCTACGATGAGAATGTTCTAGTAGATGACCAGCTTTACACATTGAGACACAATGTGAAAAGAATAAGCCCATGAAAGGGTTGGAGTAGCTCTAGTAACAGACAAGATCAGAGAGAGTTGCCTTACATGATTTGGTTACGTTAAATGTCGACCATCAAATGACTCAGTTAAAAGCGTAGATGATTTAAGTTTGACTTATATGAAGAACGGTAAAGGTAGACTTAACAAGACTTGGGAATTTTGTATAAAAAATAATCTTAATTTATTAGAATTAAATGAAAATAAGATTTCACGATCCGACCCAGAGTTTGAAATTAACCAAGAAAGAAATAAACAGTCGGACGGTGGAATTAAATTTTTTTATTATTATATTTCTATCACTAATAGTTTAATATCTAAATATTAATTGAAAGAGCCACTAAAAAAATATTTTAATTAACAAATGAAACATTTCAATTAAGCAAAAAAAGCTACCTTCGTGGTTGATGTTCTCACCTCCTGTACACATTAGCTCCTCTAGTATTCATCTTATTTAAAATTTTAAACCTAAAAAAAATATTAAAAAAACATAATCAGTTATCTAAAGATAACCCAGAAGTAATCACATTTCAAAACTACAATAGCCCAAAAATAAAATAATGTGCATGTTAATCTTTTATATTTCTAGAAAAATCTTATAATAATCTAATAAATGTGTCATTGACCTATACTTATTAAAATAAACTTATACATTGATATGCATTAACTTTAATTGTACTCTTCAATATTTAATCTTTA